GCAAAAATCAGAAGAAATGATGGATGGCCATTGCTGTGATAATGTTTGGTAACATTGTCAGGGTCAAGGGTACAATTCCAAATATGGTAATAGATCCAAAAATTGCTGGAAAATAGTGGAAAAACTGAAAAAAAGTTTGAATGGTATATAGAATGTCAGGCACTACCTTCAGAGTCCATACCAAAAAGAAAATATCATCCACTTTGACCAAAAACTGGAGAAAACCAAGTGAAGAATAATTTTATCTATTAGGGCCCATGTAATGGGATGATGGTCACATGACCAGTTACCAAAAATAGTCAAAAAATGGAAGTTGTAGCTCTACACTGTAAAGCGCTCCTGTTGTAGAGATAATCCAACTTTGTAGTCGATATCTGACATTTGCAGTCTGTTATTGTGAAGCGTTCACTCTGAACTTCTTGCATAGCTGAAGCCAAGAGGGAAGGAGGAGGCAAGAATGGGTGGATCTGGGATCAACACCCATAAGTGAGCAATGAGCAGTTACGAGATACTCAGCTAGCCTAACATGATTATGCATACTGTAGGAAGTTACGAGTCCTCTGAGTTTACGAAGAGACTCGTTTATTACCCCGGAACTTGAGGATTTTTTCAGTAGCACTAACACAGAATTTAGCCTTTCTCCCATGAAAATTGATGGTTTCCCATGGTCAGGGATTTTGTAGTCTTTATCCAGAGTTTGTAGTCTTCTGTTAGCATTTTTGTAGTCAACACTACAATGTCTTACTGACCATGTGAACCGTCTGGTGATGGCGCAGATTCTCGCTCAAAATGGTCATCACCGGTTAAAGGCACTTTATATACCCAACATAAGTCATATTATTTTGAATGAGCATCTATATCAACATCGACAAGGATGGTGATGGTCCTCATTCCCATGAATGATTCTTCCTTAATTATATATACCAAATGCTTTTATAATCATTTCATCTGGCACTCATGGTATATGAACTGCAACCGGCCCACCAAATACGCAATGATGCAACATGTGGGCTGGTCAAGTTGACAAGGCATTTTGTGTGTTCCTACCTCAAGTGTGTTATAGGTGGTATCAGATGTGAGCATGAATTTGTTATCTAAAAAACCCCAAGAAGAAGGGGAACAAATGATGATCATACTTTGCCAAAACCTTGCAGGAGGTTTCAGTGGTTCCTATTGTCACATGTCATTCTGTTTGGAAATGACATTGATCACAAATATTTATAGTTGTACATCAGATTTTTCAAATGCCTCTTGTGCATCATCATTT